ATGAGGATCTGAGGGATGGAATTAAAAGGCAATATGATGGGGAAGCAAAAACAAGGAGGAAGACCAGAGGAGAAAATCTCCCTGATCCGTCACAATCTATGACTCAGGTGTTATGAAATATGCTGCATAAGGAAGTACACTTGTATGAAAAAAAAGCCCGTGTTTGCCTAGTTACTTGACATGATAATGCAAAAGGATGAGGAAGCAAAAAGAAGGACGAAGAAAGGAGGAGAGTGAGGACATCAGCGCACTTACACACAGGCAGAGTTCAGAAACCCCAGAGGCCCAAGGTCCTCGTAAGGTGGCTCATCAAATATGGAGGCATATCAAGGTTGTGTGTTTGCTCAGCTACTCTTCATCTTCTCCTTCGCTCTGTGTTCTCTCGCTTTTCAACGGCCTCACTTCTTAACTCTTTCCTCCCTCTATTGCTTCACTTCTCTTCTGAAGCACTGCTTCTGCTGTGTGGTCACTTTTCTTCTAACTCATTTAATGAAAACTCAAGCATTCTTAAGAGTATTTTCCAAATATACAGAGCAGCAAACAGCCCTTAGAATGAAGAAGAAAACCCCCAAATAAATAGATTTATTAGTATTTAATGTCCCTTGTTTAAATCTAGCCAAGAAACTATTTTGCAAGTGTCTTTTAATCTACCCATGATTCCAGTCAATGTGCACATACTACTATCAATAAAAGGTCAAAATCACCATAAATAAATATTGAATAGAGGGATAATACGGTATAATAACCAAAAAACCTTTAGATTCAGAGGACAGATGCATTCCCTTCCCATGTTCACTGAGCACAAAATTAGATGGATGTGATTGGATGAGGTAACGGACCAATGGGAGAGCGCGTCGTGAGGCTACTGGCACATGATCTCACTTTCATCCTCGCCCTAAGCAGGTTTAGACAGCTGAGATCGGCCCGATGCTAATCTGCTCTGCACCAACTGGACGTGCTGTAGCTAATGCCTGCCTGCCACACACACACACACACACACACACACACACACACACACACACACACACACACACACACACACACACACACACACACACACACACACACACACACACACACACACACACACACACACACACACACACACAGTATTTGTTCTAGGCAATGAGCATTTAGAGTAAGAGAGGTACATTTGACAAACACATCTTTGAACTAAGACTCAAGTTGCTCTAATGTGTGCTACACAGGGCTCGAGCTTAAGGACGTCCCGTCGTCCCGGGGCCGAAAAAAATAGTGTCGGGGAGGATAACAAATAATTTTGGGACGAATTTGGGACGAGTTCAAATAAAAATACCCTGCTAACTCTACTACAAACGGCGATGAAAATGAAACCGACTGCACGTTTTGTGTAGCACACAGTTATTAAACCTCCTTGTCAACATAAACACACACGCACAAAACATTTAGAAACCCGCGAAATACACACACATGTAGCTACAGCTGTGCCGCTGGCTGTGCCCGCGAATTCCTGGCCCGCAAATTCGCGGGTCTAGCTATGTACTGAGTGTGTGTATTCCGCGGGTTGAGTGATGTACAATGGCATCCCGTGGAGGAATTCTGAAATGTTTTACCGTTACATCACACAAACGCACAGCAGAACCAGACCCTGGAGCGCCGGCTTCTTTATTTACTTACTCCTCTTCATCCCCTATGGGTAATAAGGCTGAGATGAGAACCCTCCATCGTATTTAGTCCTTAGCAATATGCTGCGCCTCTCCCCATGTAGGGATGGGTACCAAGCCCCGGTATTAAACGGGCCGGAATTATTAAAGACAGTGGTAACGTTAAGCTCCGACGTTATCGGACTTTTTATCGGTACTGGAGACATTTAAAAAATATATGTCATATGTATTATTGCTACATACACATTATATCGCAGTTTTAGTTTCACCAACTCCGTTTCTAATATGCAATAAGACTACAACATGCATTTATGATGTATTTTCGAGCTTTCCAATCCAGACGAGATCTCTCTCCCGTCTGTGTGCGAGGAGGCGGGCCGTTTGTAAAGGTCTCCTGACTGTGTTACAGACTGTCATCCTGGTTAGTGGTTACTCTGGGTTCTGTTTTCAGGACAGTGTTAGATTGTTTTTGTTAATCGGATGGGATTTGATTGGATTCAATATTAGAGTAATTTTCTCGTTTGTGTGTTTGTTTAAATATATTTGGCCTTTGTTTATGTGATTGAATGATTTACTCAAATAAAAAGGTTGATGAATTATCATCTAATGATTTCTATGATGTTTTATTTATGTTAAAGGTCACTTTGAATGATTTTAACTAATGATAATATAGAAAAACTAACATTTTAAATTCGGGACGGTCCACATTAATTTCGGGACAGCTTAGATTGTATTTCGGGACGGTTCCGGGAGGATGGGGGACAAGTTAGTCGAGAGCCCTGAGTGCTACACAAGTTGTCAGATGAGTTTTGTAACAGAAAACGCTGTGTGTATGTAACCTAAAACAAAAAAATCAGTTGTTTTAACCCTTTTCTTCAGCACTTGACCTGACATCTGATTTATGTAAAACAGTTTTCCCCAGAGCTTTAAAAATATTCATTTAAAAAAAATAAACAGAAAGCTTTTAAGATGTTAAGTCTCATGCACTCTCATAGACAGACTGAGTTTGACAGTACATGGGCAATCAAACACACATTCACACTCAACTGCCAGAAGAAAGAGGTCATGTCGGGGGTCGTCGTCCGGGGACTTGTGCTGAAAGTTAAACATGAAATAGCTCTACACCGACACACTCCGTAAAATGTGACCGAGGACAGAGGAAGCTAAAGAGGCCGCAGTGGGACCGTGCCCTTACTATTAAGCCGTATATACATTTACGTGCACGTAAACACACACACGGTTTTCTTACTCACTCTTTCTGTGCACTTGCATGCATTTGTCATCGAAGTAGCAGTGTTGTGATAAAGGCGTGGGCTCTGGGGGGGTTGGGGGCTCGGAGCAGGAAGCCAGAAGTTCACGGCCCGTCCTTGACCCTCCACTGGACCTTCATAGCTTGGAGTGACAGAGAATGACAAAGAATAAAAAGGTGGAAGTCATAAAAAAAAGTACTGAATAGCTGCAGAAAATATGTATGAGGCACGTTAAGATATTAAGGTTTTTTTATTGAAAAGAGTGAACTTTTTTTTTTAAAGTGGATCTTAAAGATTTTGACTAAAAATATTCTCCATTGTGGAAGTTTCCATCACCACAAGTCAGCAATCTATATTTGCGAGTCTGTGTTATTTGTTCCTTTATTTTGTATTCCTTTTTCTATATTTTATGCTTTTTAGTGGAATAAAAAAAGAAAAGGGGAAATAGAATACTTGTGTTTATTTACAAACTTTCTTCAAATGGGTTAAGGAAATGTAAAGCTGCATAGACAACAAGGGTAAGTTTAATTTGAGCAATAGTGTTTGTGCTTTCCGTTCTCTAGGATTTCTCTAGAAAATGTAGCAAATGTATGAATAAAGAAACCAAGGAAACCAAAAAAATAGGCAACATAAACCAATGATAAGATACACTTCAGTGAGTTTGCTTATTCTGAATCCTCTAAATCGACTTAACCCAAACTACAGTGTCTCTACCATGACAAACAGTTCTCTACATCCAGTGCCGCCCGGGGTCAAGTGGTCAATATCAGTGATCACAGAGACATAGAGAATATACGTGTTAACTCCTATCGGCATCAGGCGTGGCGGCAGGCCCGGGGCGCAGTGGAACAAACGTTAGCTCTCAGGCCTCAACAGCACTGGCAGGATTGATCTCCTTTTACTCATAAAGCACCGTCAATACAAACACACCAGGGATGGGAGAGTGGAAGTAACCATTTTTGCCATGACAGTAGCCATTCATCTGCCCGGATCTGTCACAATGACTCAGACCTGTTTTATCAAATAAGGAAGTGAACTTTTTACTTTCAAAAATGGCATGCTGATTAAGGTTTTGTCTGTGAAACGTAAGCTGCATACAAATATTAGTGTATTTGGCTGCTCATCTTTTTTCGTCTTTCTTCTCAGATTATGAGGAGGTTTAAAAAAAAGTGCCCTTCTTTTAAACACACTTTGAAATTAACATTCAACTTAATATTTCAGGTCAACAAAAATAAAAAAAACAGATAGAAAAGAGAAAGAAACATACAAAGGTGGGCACGAAATAAACAGCTGTCTATAGGAGGTGCTGTCATGGGGGGGGGAAATGACATACTCTCCTTATAAGATGACAACATATCTGCCATTACAACAACGTGCATCCTTGTCTGCTTTACATCATAGCATACAAACATTACATATGTGAGGGGAAGTACTCATGGTATGTAATGGGCATTTTCAGACAGATGCAACAAAACATTACACCATTTTATATAATGCACAGTACCATTTTACACTTTTGGCTAATTTTGACAGCTCGTAGCTAGCATACGCTAGCTACGAGCTAATGACGACAAACGTATTTTGCTGACAGCCAATGAAATTCAACAAGGCATCAGCCAATCAAGGTTGAGCATGCGCATTGAGTGATTTATCTTAAAAACACCTAACGTTGAATTATAGGCTTTATGTTAACGGAAAACTTGCATTGAAAGAGGATACAATTGTGAAAATTAATGAATGTTTTCTAGTTATGATTCGACTTAAATATGACCCAGTAAAAGTGGAAAATTAATGTGGTATAAAAATGTATCTAAATCAATGTTGTTGCTACCTTTGACACACCTCAGACCGAACAATGATTAACCCAAGCATTTAGTATACAAATAATAAAAAAAATAGGGTTCTTGGTCTATTAAATAAACGTAGCATTAGGTAAACAAACAGATTAAAAAGGGTTACAATAAAAAAATAACTGGATATTTTGTAGATTGTAGAGTGATCAGGACTGCAGCTGTTAAAACAAAACGCTTAACTCCGTGAAAGTGGAAAGTAAAAGTGACCCAAAAAAATCAGTTTGTTTCATGGTGACCACGTTTCCTTGGTAACCATGGAACCTGTCAACAAATCAGGAAAACGGAGACGAGGGGAATGTAGAAATCGGTAAATAACTTCAGAAATGTATCGATAATTGTTCTGCTTTTTAATGTAAACTTTAATTCATAGTAAACTAGCTGCTTTTGAGCACTTTACTTTTTACATGGGCCATTTTGAACGTTACGTGACTGTATTCAAAGTCACCATCTACCCCTAGTTTCATTTGGTGCAGCAAAGTCTTTATTTTTGCCCTGTGTTGATACTAACCTAGCATTCACAACCCTAGTTTTTTAATGGTTTCATTTCGCAGGAAGGTGACCCACAAAGCTCCCCCAGAGGGGCAGATGTTTCCAGATGTTGGGAGCCAAGAAGAGCTGGATCTGTACAGTGTGAATAGACAGGTAGGCTCAATAACATTAAGAGAAGAAAGGAATTTAGTGGTGGAATTAAATTGACCCACTGCAATAATTTAATCTCTAAACTCTCTAAAAAAAAAAGGGCCTTCTACTGTATACGTTGATTAGAATAAAGGTAACAAGTCAGCATTGAAAAGTTGAGTAGCCAAGGAAATTCTTATTGGGAAGAAAAGTAGTTATGTGTTTTTGAAGTTTTATCCAGTGGAAATGGTATTTCACTGTTAAAAGATGCAATGAACATTCAATGAACAAGTGTAAACCTTAATCTGTAAAGTGGTAACAGGAAAAACAAATCTATATTTCTCGTTATAAATGCATTTCATCAAAAGCACACATGGAAATAATCTAATAAATTGCACTAACAATAAATGTACGAGAAATAATGATTGCTCCACTCCAATGAATTTCCCAGTAAGCCATGCCATTGAAGAAGCATATATAACTTTATGCATATGATGTGTTTCTTCCACCAGGGTCTTTCAGCGCTGCACATGGCCTGCCTTTACGGCCAGCTGGCTACCATTCAGCTGCTGGTGGAGTCCAGGCAAGGGGAGGTCAACAGCAGCGATAATCAGGGTCGCCGGCCTGTTCACATGGTCCTGTCCCCCCAGAGCTCACCCAACACCGCCTCGTGCCTCATTTGCCTGCTGGAGCACGGGGCTGACATCAACACGTAGGGGAACACTTTTTTTGTGAATAAAATGCTGAGGGCATGTCCAAGTAGCTGGATGTATCAGCTGGGTCCAATAGCTGCTTATTCAAACACTAAAGTAAAGCATTTTTTAAGAAAAGCCTACAATAAAAAGTGAAATTATGATTACGATGAGCTAGTTTGATGTATGCTGTTGCAAGGAACAATGATTATGATGACACAAATAATAGTAGTGATTTATGTTTGTCTTTACCAGTACCACAGATTCAGGGGAGACCCCGCTGCACCTGGCCGCCGCTGAAGGCCTCCTGAGCTGCACAGAGACCCTCATGCAGGCCGGAGCCGATGCGCTGGCCCGGGACAGCATGGGACAAACTCCTCTGGATTTGGCCCGCATCTGGTGCCACAGGGAGGTGGCAAGGTAACAAGCTAAAATAACAACAGCATACAAAGTTGGTTAAACTGTTTTGGGTGAAGTTTGAGACGGACTTCTTGTGTTGTTGTGCAGGTATCTGAAAAGCTGCATGTGGCAAACTGATAAGAAGAAAGAAATGCAGGAGAGGAAGCTGGGTCAAACTTTATACATTGATCTCATGGATATGGTCAAATTAAATAAAATCAATAAAAAGGTTGGTTTGTATGTTGGGCAAATCTAATCTCTCCACATCTAGGGGTTTGCAGCATTTTTCAAACTAATCTCCATGTCTTTTTTTAGACAGTTATAGATGAGAAAATGACAGAGTGGGCGAACCAAAAAGGTCTTCCTCTCCTGAAGGAATTCTCCCCCAGAGTCTTGGTGAGCCAGTACCACACCCAGTGCCTCGGTTCTGATCCAAAACACCAGCCAGGAGGTCATCTGGAGGACAAAAACATCCCCACTAAGCAACCTCCAGCCTCCTCCCCTGGACCCTGGACCATCTTCACGGGCCTCCAACCAGAAAAGCCCCTCAGGGAGCCGGACCTCCGGGACAAAGTGACGGTGCTGGGGGGCAGCCGGCAGCCTCAGTACACCACCCAGTGGGACAGCAGACGCCACCCCGCCCCCGACCTGCCTCTGGATGTCCTCCAGAGGGTGTTGTTCCCCAGAGCCTTCCCTTCCAGGATCGCCTCCCCACGGTACTTTGAGCCAAAGGACATTGTGGAGGTCCAGCACAGAGGATACCCCCAGGGGCGGAGCACCTCCCCCTGGACAGAGGTGGCCATGCACTTGGCTGAAGTGCTGGAGCCCGGACATTACTGAACAAAGGAAGAGCTTAAACAACACCTGCATTAGTAAATGTCTGAAAGGAATGGATTAAAAATATCCATTATGTAAACTTGATGGTAGATAACATGCCATCAAATGATCTGAACAAATATAATTATTGTGCTTAGGAGGATTCTATTTTAGGAAATGTTTTGTAAGGACATCTAGCAGTGTCCTCTATGTAATCTCACTTCGAGTTGAAACAGTCTCAACAGTAGACCTTCCCTAACACAAAATCCCCCTCCCCCCTCCTAGACTTCAAGCCCAGTGACAAAATTAAAAATGCCACACACCCCAGATGCTGCGCCTCCAAACGCGGGGTGAAAGGAGGGGTGAGTGAAAGGTGAGAAAACCTCAGTGAACTGGGTCACCTGTCTCAGATGAGTCCCTGCACTTTCTCTGCTCCCCCCAGGGAACTGACTCGGGGTCCAGGTGAGGGCTTGTCAACAGCGTGTGTGTGTGACTGGGAGCTGTGGCCTGTCAGCTAAAGGTGTGGGTGTGTGGTTGTTTTGTCTTTTTAGCTTTACTTCACAACTCAGTGGGGGTCAAAGTGCACACTAGCCTCAACCTCACTGTGACCGAGACACATGGGACCTGGATAACACCAGCTAGACTGACTGCCACACACACACACACATTTTTAGACAGTGAAGTTCAGGGTGTAACAGGAAAATCCATCGTACTACACATTTTATTTAACATTAAATAAGTGAAGATTTAATTGGAAATGTTGAGGATCTATTTTTCCGTGAAAAGAAGCATTTAATCTGTTATTTCAACAAAGTATTTTATTATACATCTGTGTAGCATACCAGCCTCCAATGAATCGCACTCTGTAATTGGTCAAAAGAATGTCGGGCTCTTTAAAAGCACTTTCATCAAAAACCACTTTGAGCAGCTTTTGTCCCTGACGCACGTTAGTCTTCACAAGTGTTTTCATTTGTCGTCAGATGTCGGGTTAACTCGCTGATCAATGTTTTTAAAAAAATCAGTTTGTTATTACTGTGGATTTCTTTTCAAAATAGTCCAAAAAAGAGCCGGTGATTAATGAGTCTGTAGATCTGGAAGACAAAAAAAGAAAATCTCCAACACATGTAAATGATCCAGACTGGGAGATATTCATTGTAGATCACATTCATTTAAGGGCATTTCGCTGATAGAAGTAATCCTTTGCAAATGCCCTTATTAAGCCATTTTCATCACTGTGAAGCGACAGGGTGTTTACATCATGCCACATCCTGTAATTAAATTAAAGCACCAGCTGATTAATTACAACTTAACTTCACTTTCTTATTTAAAGAAGTCGGGTAAAGTAGGGACTTGAGGCATTTTTCCTGCAGCTGTTATGCCACTTTAAACCAAAATGAAAGCTTTGACATCAGGATTAAACCAGAAAGTACCTTAAAGTGGCTTCCTCTGAGGAGATTTATCTAGCCGTCTCCTAATTCTGCTCTTCTGTGTTTAATCTTAGAGTGAAACCTACACCACATAAAAGACAGAACATCTCGTCTCCAGGAAAAAACACAAAATTATTTATCTCCCAAGTCAAACCGTACAGGTTACATTTCAGACCTTTTCACAAACATATTTTAATACCAAAGATTTAAAAAATGTCCAACATGTGAATAACAAAGTGCTGCGCTACAGAACCGATCCCCACAAAGGGGTCTTTAGTTGATGTTGTTGGCAGTCAGACAGACAAAGAGAGAAACAAAGAGACGACCGTGGTCGGTGTAAAGTCGTCCAGCAGGAAGCTCCGATCCGTTCATTGGTCCTTCCTCTTTCTTCCCAATATGGCCACTGTTTCGTTTTTAGTCCCATCCAGAAAACAAATTCCCAGAGTCCTTCCTGCTTCCCCTTAATCCTCCAGACACACACACACACACACTCATACACCTCTTGACCCTGAGGCTGCCCCCCCGAGCCCCTTAGTACATCTTCTGTCTGCTGGGCAGCACCGCCTCCTTCAGGACCGAGAACACCACGAGGATCCCAGACCTCTTCCCCCTCTTGCCCTTGGTGAAGTAATTAGACACCACATCATCTAAAAGAAAGAACAAAGTAAATTGTTATACAGTTGTTTTTTTATTTTCAGACAACACCTGTCGTTTTTTTATTTAGTCAAAGCTTCTATGGAGGTCTTGAAAAGAAGCTTCAAGTGTGTGTTGTCAATCAATAATCACACTTTTCCAATCAACCAAAATATCTAATGAACATGTATTTTCTTTATTAAATCAACGTTTAAATCAACGTTAATTCACAGTAAAAGTGTGACAAAATAGACGTTATCTTATTTAAAGTCATTTATGTTGCTATTGGATTCCTGCTTGTCTCCCTTGGTTAGCAGCAACCTGTTTTTGCCCACAGTGAAAATTAGTTTTTTAAAAGGCTAAAGCTAAACGCTAACAAATATGGATTGAAGCATTTGTTGGATGATTTATGTTTGGCAATATTTGTAATGATTACATGTATTTTCAATTAACTTGGACTAATGGAATTTACAACGCTTTAGAGTTAAGGGTAATATCTGGAAAAGAAAATCAGCGCAGTATTTGAATGTGACGTTATAAATTAGCTTTAACTTTTCATTACAACCCTACTCATTTGTTGTTTAAGATCAAGATGAAATAAACAACAGTAGTCACACACAGAGAAAAAAAAGCAATTGGGGATCGAAACCATGACTGAGTTTCATCGACTGACTGAACGAGCACGGCTAATATAAGCGCAGGGGGTCATTCCTTTAAATCAGTGGTTCTCAAACTTTTTTCAATAATGTACCCCCTATGAAAAAAAAAATTCAGCCAAGTACCCCCTGAAAAACAATTTGTTAAGGAAAAAATGCCTACATAAAGAGGTACAGTAAAACAACAACCTTGTAACTGAGAAACACTTAAATGCTACATTTCAAATGTTTACAATCCATCACTAAATTCATGACAAACTAATTTTAACATCATGCAATAACACTGAGACGACATTAGTTGCATTGAACTGATCTTTTTAATAAGTTGTACTTAATGTAGTGAGAAACATGGGCTCGTGCTTCACTGAGGATCTTTGTCATGCTGACAGGGAGGCCACTGCAGTTATTACACTTTGCGTTTTGAAATATGTGTAACTCTGTTAATATAAAACCCACACTGCTCAAACTCCCTTACTTTTCCTAACAATTGGTATATTTATTTATTTATTTTGGGGCGTGGGGAATGAAGAGAAAAAATATATGAGCATTTTATGAGCATGGGATTTTGACCCCTCATATAAACATATACATAATGCTATACTTTGCAGCCACAAGTCGTTGCCAAGCAACGCTTATTGTTTAGGTGTCCTTTGATAAGCAGGCAGTCATATAATTAACTAGAACTAGCTAGATCTGATAGATTTGGACATAAACGCGAGTAAAGTCTAACCGGACGAGAGACAGAGATCAGAGATCAGATCAGCTGCTGCTGACGGAGAACACGCAGCTCTACCGGATCACAGCTCCGCCGCGGACCGTTGAGTGGAGCAAAATTAAATACACTAAGAGTTAGACCTAACACACTTAGCTAGTTTATCTACTCTGGAACTATCTAAACTAGTTATACATATGTGTATTCTTTACGGTCGGGTCACTTATTACAGGTTCAGCGAGCTGCACGAGACTAACGGGCTGTCAGGAGAGGGAGAGGAAAAGAGAGCACCCCGTCTATTTTTCCCATATTATTATCCAGAATTGCTGTAAACTTTTGAAGAAAGTAGTTAATCTACTATTAGTAGTTTGTTTAAATGCATTAATTATGTTTGTTTTTTCATTAACATAAAATAAATCTCACGTACCCCCTGCAGTACTCCAACGTACCCCTAGGGGTCCGCGTACCCCCATTTGAGAACCACTGCTTTAAATGACAGACATGGTTTTCCCTTGATTACCATGACATTATAACATAGGCTTTTTAAGATTGTGTTCATAAGGCTGAGGGATCTAAGAACGTGTCATGATAGAGAGATTACAATTATACATACTAAACCCACAGCTCGAATCAACAACCAACATACAGCCAAAGAGACATAAATCTCACCTCCTTGTTGCATGGTGGACGGAAGCACGTTCTCCCCCGCTGACAGGGACACGAAGAAGCCGAAGGGGATCACCCACAAGCAGATGGTGAAATACGCCAGCACCTTGACGCAGAATGAAAGATTATGAGACTTGAGTTAGAATGGCAGACAATCTTTTTCATGGATAAGGCTTCAGAAAGAGACAAAATTACCTCTGAGAAGGGATAATACTCTTGTGCAAAGAACTGGAAGGCCATATAATGGTTCACCACCACCAACACTGGAGAGTGAAGACAAAGAAGAGACAAAATGTTGGAAAACAGGATAAGAGAAAAAGACATTTGGTACTAACAGATAGTGTGTCATGCTCACCACAGGAGAGGATAAAGTTTGGGGAGCTCAGCGCGATGTAAGGGAAAGTCTGCAGGAGGCCAAAGTACACCAGGTTGGTGAAGAGGCCGACCCCCACCATCAGCACTGGGAAGCTCTCAAAGAGATAGAGACAGGCCAGCACCCCTGTGGAGAACTGGACACATTCACACACACAGGACGCCTTGTTAACAACATGGTTGAGTGCAGTATATTCTTAAAAAACAAGAGAATTAGGAGAATGATGCGGTTACTCACCATTATCATGTACTTTATTATTCGACTGGTGGCTACTGTGTATTCTTCTATTAGTTCTGCCAAGTAGTACAGGCCAGCAGCTGGGGGAGACAATCAGAAGGGATCAGTATTCATATAAGAGTCAAAAGAAAAACAGAGAGGCAGTTTCATCATTGGATCTTCCAGACATTTCAATTATCTCAATAAAATACAAATGATAAAAATAAATAATCCTGTTGTTCACCACCACGTAGCGATACATTGCTTGTTTGTGTTAAAAATAAAAAGGTAAATCTTAAAGATGAAAATGCGTTTTGAAAATGTTACCTACGCAGCAGGATTTTTTATAACTAGTTATTTTTGATACATTCCTGACTTTTTGTACCACTACCAAAATGACACCAATCACTTTCCAAAGCAAAGGACCTTTATTGTTAAACTTACTTAACCGAACCCTTACTTGCTTACATTTTCTGACAAATCTTTGGTCGTTCTCAAATGCTAGTGATATATCTATATCAAAAGATAAACTGATAAATACGGTAAAGTGTGAATCAGACCAGAGATTCAAAGACGGCTTCCAGTACCAACAGTTTTTTATTATTGGTTCTAAAGACACATTTCACTCAGTTCCCAAAACGTACCGAGATTCAATATCTAGCCAAATAATATCAGTTCAGTCGAGTGAATGAATAAAAGCACATCGGCAAAACAGACGTGACCCACAGTTCGTGAGCCCGTGTAGAAGGAAGGCCAAACACAGACTGTGCGTCAAAAGCATGCACGTCAAGGCCCTGAGAAAGGGACGGCGAGAGCAAAGGCTCATGGGAGAATATGAGGGCTTCATCACACAAAGGCAATGTGCTCTTACCAAAAGAGTCTGCCTTGCCCTTTTCAACTCTATATTTCATTCAATGTCAACTTTTTTTTTAGCATTGGACAGCTGGACACAGCAAATAGAATATGAACATGAGCTGGGCCAATTTAATCTGGGAAAGTACTGCATGATTATACCGACTTAATAAAGTAAGGGTCAGGGCAATCATGGGTTGTACTGCTCCTTCACCTAGTTGTGATTAGAGTTGCACTGTTGCAATGCTACAAAGCAGCTTATGATTGGCAATAAAGGGCCGGAAGGAAAGACTTATTCAGGCAGTCATTGGAAACAAGTCGTGTTTTTACCACTTTATACTTGGGCATCATTTACAAATGTTTTATGTTTATAGGTCATTAATAGGAGGTGACAGAAAGCCACTTTGGCTGGTGTTTAACTCTATCTATTTGGTATTATTGTAAATGCTCTGAATCCATTGCTAAATGTCAAAGAACTTCTTAAATGAAAAGGCAAGGGGTGCCGCATTAATGTTATAAGTAAATAACTGCTAAAACGCAAACAAAAATATTGCAGTCAGAAAAAGACATCAGAATTTTCTCGGCTCATATCGTGGCAAATCAAAAGCTATTAAATGATGATAAGTGAATTGTATAGCATTGGTAAATGTTTTACTAAACACTGTTAAAAGGGGGTAGCCTTAGTTCATTATTTAATCTGATTCAGTTTAGCAAACATGATCATCTTAGTTCCTTGATCCTGACTAGTATCAGAATCATAGTCAGCTTTATGTATACAAAAATAGACATAACATCGAGGAACAAAGAGAACTAACCTGGTACATTTAAAGTAAAAACACAAGGTTATCATACACTCAGAACAAGTATGTGCCGAAAGTAAAACATAAGAACAACAAAAGAAGAAACAAGTACACAACCACACACAGCTGGGCTGGAGTGACTGATACTAGCAGGGTTTGACAGTCAGCAGCCACACCTGACAGCTGTGTGTGTGTGTGTGTGTGTGTGTGTGTGTGTGTGTGTGTGTGTGTGTGTGTGTGTGCGTGTTACGTGGCCAGGTAACTAACTTGCAACGTGGACACAGACAGACAAGCTTTTTAACAAAGTTTTGAAGCAAACCCAACATATTAACATACTGTTTGTAACTATGTGAGCCAAATGCTTAATATCCAGTTTGTCGACTAACCTACGGGAATGTCATATTTTTAACATTGTAAAAAACCATGCTAGTTAGATTTGAAGCAACATTGTCTAGTTCATATTAGTTTACATGCTAACCTTCCAACTGAATACTGATGCTATTATATCACATCTGTATTGCATATCAGACTTTAGGACCTCACTATTGTCATATGCTCACTCAGGCATCGAAGTTCTGAATAGTTTAAAATGGTAAAAACTGAAGAGAAAGCTAAATGCTAGCTTACTTAGCATCATGAAACATAATTGTTTCCCCATGTACAACGAAAACTACTTAAGTCTAGGACGTGTCAAAAACTAACAAAAATACATTCTTCACTTTAATGACTACTGTTTAAAAAAATATATGCTGTTGTCATTTAAAAAAATTATAAAGGCATCATGTATTCGTTCTTCCTGTGGTGGAAATCTTGCTAGCTTAGCAAGCAAACAGTAGTCAGGTAAACGAACACAATGTACCTTCTTTAGTCATAAGGTAGGATTATTATTTGTAATTGCATTTTATTATTAACACACTTGTGTAGTGCCAATACAGGTGCAGGGCAGCAAACAAAGCCTAGTTATTATTAAATGTTGCAGCTTCACTTACTGAAATGGTCCGCTAGCGTTATTAATTAGCTACCTAGCATTTGCATGGATTTTAAAACATGCACTTACCTATTGCTAGCGTAACGAAGGACACTTGGATGACTAGCGACAGCCAGCTGAGTAAATAAATAAACCACATCTCTCCACATGTGCTACAACACACAACAATATGAAAAAAAGACAGAAAACTAGTAAAAGCTAGCAGGCTAGTTACTAGCTCGGAACACCGGTCAAAGTTCCTGCCTGTTTGTTTTGAGGAAAGCAGAGAAGAAGGGGCCTGTCTGGAGGAGGGAGAGAGGTGGTTTGATGCAGCGCCATCTTTGGTTGGAGGACAGCTGCAAGAGTCTGGCACTGATTGATTGATGAGTTTATTAACAGCTTGTATATTGGGTACAGTACAGTACAGCTCAAAACATACAATTGTTAAGGGGATGCAGACCAGAGAAAGACTTTCGTCTTGTTTACATCAGGGTCCCCCATTTCCAATTCATCATGTCATTTAAGACATATAAGACATATAAGACATATTTGACATACAGATGGCTTATTTACAATTTACATTTTAGATTTCGTTCTAATACATCCTAACCGGACATTTAAGACATACCAAGTCTACAGATATACAGTTAGTAACAGAGTCTAAAATGCGAGTATATACATAGATGGGGGGGGGGGGGGGGGGGGGGGGGGGGGGGGAGAGCTGTCCATTGAACGACAGGTTGAGATTTGTACCATTACCGGGGCCAGTTTTGCAATGCTCTCCCCCGAAGGTGCTCTTTAAGAGAGGTTTGAAGGTAAGTATAGTTTTACTTTCCTTTACAGTTGTGGGAAGAGCGTTCCACCTTGATGTGGCATCATTGCGAAACGTGTATTCCCCCTTTTTTGTGCCAAATCTGGGTTTCACATGATTTGTGCACTCAACTCATAAGCTGTATTTGGCAACTGAGAAATACATAATAAAGAGCAGAATTTCTCCAGGTTGTATCTTATTCATCGACAATTCCGTCATGTGAAATATCATTGTACCAAACTCTGCAATTATCAATGTATGTTGTTGCACTACTATCCCATTTATTCACCCATTGTAGACGCAACTTGTGGACAGCAGTGCTCGAACCTCAAACCTTGCATTGATGTATTAAAAAAGCTCTACCTCCTTTTGACACTGAAACATAACTTAACATCCTGATTAATTCAATGCAGGGCTTCACTATGGGAGCCCATTAAAAAAGAACATGTCCTACTATCAGTGATGCAAACACAGGTGAAAAAAGAGAGAACTATTCGAAGCGGGAAAAAACAGCGTAATAATGTTAAAAGTGTGGTTTACCAAGACAAAATATGGTACCCAAAAATAAAAATGGTGTGGTGGTTTAGTCACTTGACAGTTTGATTAAAAAATGGTGTTTGAACACTTAACAACATGCACGTCAACATTATTTTCATAGAAAGCCAAACTACGGATGTGGGAACCTGAAAAAGTTCTCCTTTGAAATCAAACACAAAAAAAACACAACTTGTTGGACTTGTATGGTAATAGATTTGTAACATTTGTCTTGTATTTTATAGGCCCTCAATATGCTCCTATTGGTTTCAGGAATTGTACCTTTGGTAAAGGTTGTTGATACAACCCTATTTTCTTACTACTAAATAATGTGTCTTTTTATATGTTAATCATCCTGGGAGATATAATGTAAGATCATCATTCAGGAAAGGATGGGGGAAACCGTACAGGGCAATATTATAAAGATTCACAGCAAGTTCATGGGTGTCCCTGGTGTCTCAACACATCTTTCCTGTTTCTATCAGTATTCTCAGAGATCCAGTATCAGTTTCAGAACCTCATTACTTTCATGTCTCCATTTCCTGCTATTTCTCTCATACACACTTTTGGCTTTCATGTGCATTGATTCAATAACAGAGGGTAGAATACATTACTGCATCCCAAAGCCAACACCTCTGAGACTGAGGAGGGAAACAATAAAGAATGTATGCTGGGGAGTGAAAAGGCAGACCTTCTAGTAAAAAGAGCTAAATGAAGTAAATATATAATGTGAAACAGTGTGAAGACACTAAAATGGTGTCGGAGTCAAAGGTGAGAGTAATTTCATCTTTTCAAATGCTTTTAACAAAGACGGATAGGTAGATGATGTGGTGTGAGGGTACGATGTAGGTATTCAACCATGCATGCATGCACACATATATGCAGTGTTTGTGAGGAGGTGAGAAAACAAAAAGCGACCTTCCGCATTTAAAGATACTTTCAGGAGGAAGCAGCCAGATCACCGGAGGCTCTTATCTCAACGACACCTCTGGGCTCGGGGTGGGAGAGCTTTAATGTGCCTAAATAAATAGCAGCCTCCAGCCTTCAGCCCGATCAAGCTTTAAGAGGCCGACACCTCGGGAGAGAAGTGGGTAAAGGCATCATATAAAATCATGAGACTTGCACTTAGATCAGCTGAAACCCAAAAGGCATGATATGGGACATTAACCACAGCTGAATGAGTTTCATTTCCTTTGACACGCAACAAGTACGGCTATTTGAAGCAGACCTGGGTTAAATGGCTTTTGGCAGAAATGTTTTTTGTGTTTTTCTCTAGGTCAAAATGTGGGATTTTATAATGTTTTTCAATGAGCACGTGTGGTACTCTCAAGACAAGTCAAATGCACTGTTTGCTGACATTACACAACTCAAGTCTTTGTTTTCAAAAGAGACCAAGATCAACCTACATTTTATTGTAACTGATGAACCAAACGGTGCATAGATGTATTAATTAAATAAATCTGCCAATATGCATTCAGTTTCTCTGAAGTAAAACAAGAGACATTCAGGAAATCGCCAACAAATACTAAACAAAGATGTCTTGCGGGACCTGCAATAACTGCAGCACTGACAATGAGGCTTCCTGAAGCTGCTCTCAGTTTTCTTGTCCGAGGATCAGCGCTGATGCTCGGATGCGGGAGTCTCTCTTCTCTCGGTTCTGCTTCAGCCTCCGGAGCACCGGGGCGCGGCTGCTCTCTCCAGCCCAGGGACAGTCTCCTGCTGCTGGGACACACTGAGCACCGGTCTGAGGCTCTGAAGGAAGAGATTATCTCCAGTTATGCACGGAACCAGACAATGAGAGAAGACGGTTGTAGTTGACCACAATGATATGATAAAGCACTTTCTTCTGATGATTAATATTTCAGCGGTTAAAATACTCATTGCGTGCAGATCAAATGTTGAGCCTGGAGGGGAACCGATGGCTACTTTTCACTTTTTATCTTCCCTACATTAAAGCGTTTTTGCGTGACTCTTTTAAAATGTTATATGTCACCGTGCATTACCAAGTACATTTTAATGCAATTACAATAAAAGCATGAATTCACTCACAGAAAATGGGGCATTACCTCAAAGTATAAAACGAATATCTCCAAACATTTGAAAGCTTTAACTTGCTTTCTGTTTAAATGCATGTCGTGCTCTCGTGCTAATTACTAAAAACAGACTGCTTGTAGACACGCAAGAACCTACAAAAACCGCAAACCAAAATCCATTGAAGAAAGGACAAAGAGGACAATGAGAGTGTACCCTGTGTTTGGTCCTGCTGGTCCCCCATGGCTCTCCTCCTCCTCTGCAGCACCTGCAGCAGCTCCGCTTCGCCAACATTTCGGCCCATTCCCCGTCTGGATGGCACTCTGCGGAGCTTCTGATGTTTCATGATGTCCTGGTGTGTATACATGTTAAAAAGTGGAATAAATTGCTGTTTGTCAAAAGTGTTTTTCCTTTGCAACACTAATCTGAGTCCATTACCAGCATTCCTTTCAGCTCCAGGATGGCTGACTTTCTGTTTTCACTCTTCTGGTCCTGCAAGATTTGGGAATATTTGTGAATTCTGTGTCAACTGCTTAATTATAAAAAATAAATTCAACAATTGGGAATATGAGGCTAACTGACCTTCCACGCACTGTCATCTTCCTGTAAGCAGAACAAGTCAGATTTTAGACGTTAGTATTTATTACTTAAGGGTTTTTTTCTTATAGAAGTTTCTCTGTTCATATATAAATGCCACACAATGGGAAAGTAAATGAGCGAATACATTTAAAAAGTATTTGTGAATACAATTGATCCACCTGTACTCTCATGATGGGCCTCAGGATGATTCCTTTTTTTATTCTCTCCATCATTTCATCCACCGCTCTCGTTTTCATGTCCAAAGGTTCTGCTTCTTAAGGATTAGAGACGGATGAAATATTGTAAAGGACTTTGAGAGCATATAATGTGTGTTTAATTTAAATAGAAGTAAAAGTATTGTTTTGAGAAACCAGAAAGAAGTTGTCATATAAATCTGAGAACCTAAAAACATATACATTGAGGATAAATCATAGCTTCTGAGTAAAGTAAGTCTATTTGTTATCGATGCAAGTGTGAGACTCACTGTTTTGATCGGCTTTGCTGGCGCTTTCTTTTCTTCTACTTCTCAGGAAATCAAGTGTACTTGGCACAGAGAGGTCAAAGGTGTCATATTATCATACAATTCATGATTTAAAAGCAGTCATAAGGGTGGCCTCTGATACAGAATATACACACTGATGAAGACGGTTCATACTTGGTGACAGCAGGAGGGGGTGGAGGAGGTGGAGGAGGAGGAGGAGGGGGAGGGGGAGGGGTTTTCTCCTCTTGTTCATCCTCCTTCAGTGTATCTTGAAACTGTTTCACTACAAAAAAAGAGAGCGAAAACATTCCTGCTATTAGTATCATGAGCCAAGAGACAAATCACCCAGGAAAAACTAAACGATATTAAATCATGGAATTTGCACCACTCAGAATCATTTTAACTTTGAACTGCGCTGATCAGATAACAGCTGTGTTTGTATGTTTGTATGAAACACAGAGCTTATGTCGGAAAGCTAACCAAAAAGGCTCTTTCAGAAAAACATGGAGTCAAAGGAACTGGAAGTGCTAAAATGCTAATTCATTACCGTGTTAAGGACTTATTCCTTCACCACTGTATTAAGTTTTAAATTAAGCTTCTTTCTTTGTTTTAATGACCACCAATCACACACTAGTGTCATTAGCTGACTGTTTTCTTCCATTAAGCATGTGTGTGCAAAATGCTCCTCTTCTTGCAGCTACCTTCCTCCTGGAGCTGAGTGACAGTGCTGTTAGCTTCAGACAGCTGCGTCACTAAAGTCTTCCTCTCCTCCTCGCTGCTCTCCAGCTCTGCTCTCAGGTTCTGCAGCTCAGAGACAAAGCTGCTCTCATCCCCAGCGCCCTGACTCGGTTTAAC